ACTTTGGAACAAATTACCTTTAAATGTAAAAAACTGTCAAACCGTTAACCTATTCAAAACTAGTCTCAAGACACATTTATTCAAAATTGCGTTCGATGATTAATTATCTCTGTTCACTTTGGTGTGTATTCCATATGTATTGTTATTTGTAGGTTTATTTGCATTTTTAGTTTTGTATAAGATGTAATTGTATATCAGTCTATTTTGTGTGTATAGCGCTTAGAGACTTCGGTGGTAAGCGCTTTATAAGTAACGTTTTTATTATTATTATTATATGTAAATACAATATCAAGATTGTAGGATAAAAGCGTACAGTAGTATTCGAAGTTTTAAAAGTTATAACTGTTAAGATGATTTCTGGCCACTATTATAAAATACTGCAATCTCTTTAAACAATATATAGAAATGGTTTGAATACGGGTATAATCTTGCTAAGTTTATTAGTCGTAACTAGAGAATATAGCAATACAAGATATTCACTCACTCACATAAGGTGAAATAGCTTGAATATCCAAGTGCTGCCATGACAAATGTATAATTAATAAACCTGAATCTTTAATGAGGCGCTACATAGTTATTATACCATAATTCACATAATTGTATTCATAATCAAATCATTTTTTTTCTTTTATTTGGCACAACTAGTTGCAATGGTATGATCTCCAAAACTGTGTTACATTCACCAACGTTGTGGTGAATGAATCTAAAGTCTCGCCGTCTCGTCTGTCGTGATTAGGGACTTTTAGATGTGCACGTCGACATACATGTAGTAGACTGCTACGTGTGACGTCCTTTTAAGGCACTGTGAAGTCCTTTTTTTTAGGAACTGCCACGTATCAGTCCACTATGTCGACGTGCAAATCTAAAAGTTCCTAATAGCGATACAATGTCAACATTAAACCTGGCAAACCTATTGTCACGAATTCCGGATGTCCTTGGTTGATTTCATACTAACTCCAGGAAGCGCCGGTATTGGAACTTCCTGGAGTTATATTCAAACCTGCTATCTGGCTTCTGTGTGTTGTAATCGTAGTTATATGCAAAGCAAGAAAACTTATGATTGGCAAAACCACCAACCGAATCTGCCATCATGTGCAGGGGCGGCGATCCGGGGGGGGGGGGGGGACACGTCCCCCTCAATTTTTTACGGGGGGGGGGGGGGTCGTCCCTCCTCAAAATTCGGAAAAGTGCCCATAAAAAGTGTAAAGCAAAGACTGCAACAAACTTTAAGGCTCTGGGCGGCCCAATAGTGCAGAGTTTAGGCGAATAAAAGTGCGAAAATCTTCTCACTCGGGAGCTACACTCCCCCGAAAAAATATTCCTCAAATTGTTCAAGTAAATATTGTGAAGTAAAGTGTGAAAAAGGTAGATTCCTTGTTTTTATACTATTGTTTTGCTAAGGAATGTAAATTTTTAATACAGCAAAACTTCAAAAACCTGTAAGGGGGTAGTCACTTCCGTCACCTTCACCCCTCTCGTTCACTATGCTGCCTCGCACTTGCTTCGCTCGCTTTGCTCTACCTGATCGAAAATACTTTAGCCCCCCCCTTCCCCCTCTTTGAAAAATGTTCCGCGGGGCCTGCATGTATAATGTAAAAGTGGAGGTGCGGATTTTGTTCTACCCTCCCCCCTTAAAAAAAAAAAAAAAAAAAACATTTTGCTCATTACGTCACTGCTCCCCCGTCCTTCGGATTTTGTCGCCCCCCTCCCCCCCCCCCCGGTCATGAAGACAAATCGCCGTCCCTGATCATGTGAACGAAAAATGGGATACTCCCTTGAGTTCAACCGTTAAGTGAGCTCTGAAATATGAATTTCCATTACTTTTTTGTTGCCTACAAAAAATATCCTTTGTGCATCAATCATAAAAAAGCAGCACGTATATGAATTGAACTCTTGCCAGGGGGTGATTTTCCTAAACTGGTGATACTCGGGGGGGGGGGGGGGGAGGGTGTAGTTGGCCGTCGGAACAATTGTCCTAAGAAAATAATTGTCCTTGGGTGATTGTCTAGGGGTTATTGTCCTAAAGGGTTGTTGTCCTAAAAGAGTAATTGTCCTTGGTGGATCATTTTCCCGTTTTCTAATTGCCCAGGGTGATTGGCCGGGGGTTAATTGTTTTGAAATGACTATTGTGGTATATACATTTGGTATACTATTATATCTCAATTTTGAGTCTACATTTTTGGTCCATTGGTCTGCACATAATGTTGAATGGCCATTATATTATCTTGATTTGGTATACTATCATTTCTCAATGTTTATTTTAGATTTGTGTGCATAAATCTTCACATGTTGAATATCGGCCGTATTTTGATCTCGTAAAATATGATATTTCAATTTGGAGTTTATTATATTTTGGTTCATTAGTCTTGACATAATGCTGTATGTTTAATATAAATTTTACAATGTTACCCAAATGAGCATATTAAGTCTGCACATTGTAATGGTGATTGTATCGTTTATAACATACCATACACTTTGTTTTAGATTTAATATGTGTGTATAATTTTGCACAGTTTAATGGTGAACGTCCAATGTATACAGATTTCATCTATGATCTTATATCGATGTTGATTTTATGATAGAAATACATTTATACATGTATGTATGTGAACATATGGAGGGGTAAGGCCCCAGCATACATTCATATCATTTACATGCAGTCATCAATGAACAACTTGATAAGTTTGGGGGAAAGTGTGCGGTGCTATTTAGAATCACGAAAACATTATTTGCGTGAAGTAAATCTTTAAACTAAACTCCTAATAATCACCAAGCGCTATTTCCAGCTCAGTACCTATCTCTATCTAAAGGGAATAATGAGAATAACCAGGCTAGCCTTTTCAAAGATACACAAATTAAGTTTGACATTATAAGCTGATCATGTTTTAGCACTACTATCAAACAGTTTTGGCTTCTCTCGAATCCCTTGTTTAAGGTTTTACTTGTGATTGAGTGATTCAAAATCGACATCGTTTACATGGGATGCTATCGTTTCACTTAGGAAAGTATACTGTCAATATCTTTGGTAGTTAATACCATAACTTTAATTTCTTACATTTACTGAATCGTTCAGGTAAGTAAACCTCCGACTTCTCTTGTACTGTCCGAAACAAATACCTTACACATATTAAGCATGTAAAATGGTGCAATGGACACGTGGAAAATAAATTGTTACATATCACGGGACTAGAGTACAACAGGCTATTAGAGATAATTCAATGCTATCATGTGGATTGAAAGAAGATTCTGTGAAAAAATAGATACATTCGATCACTTTAAACAATGAAGATCTAAAGCCTGGATCAGAATTTCCCTTAGAAACGGATTTATAGACCAAGGTAACACATGCATTATGTCTGACCCACACCCGGCCAATCAGCCCAGCTTGGTACAATATTTTGACCACACTTTAAAAGGAAAAAGGGTGCTGAGTTATCCATGTCAGCGAAAAAATGAATAGGGTATATTAGACAAAAAACTATTTCACTTTTAGGTTGGAACGGATTTCAAGGTCACATTTGATGTAACGTTTTAGGTACAATCATTTACAACTTATACGCACTGTCTAGCGAGAGAGAGAGAGAGAGATCACACTTTGAAGAAATGAATTTATTACCAACTTTGTTTAATGAAATAAAAGAAAAAATACCTAACACTCTCCAAAGTATATATTAGCTCAATGGTCGTAGTGGTAGTGGATTTGTGGTGAAAACTGCATATGACATGCTGTCAATTCACATTCCTGAGTAATTTTTACGACAAACATGAAATAAAAATGACATAATGTTTTATAACATGTGATCGCCAGACTGTGCAGACACACACCTTTTTTGAGCTCTTCATTTTCCTTTGGATTTTGCTCTTTTAAGGAAGTTTACTTGTTCATCTTTTCACCAGATGACTGATCTAACATCATAGAATCTACTGGACAAATTTCAGAATTTTTACTGGACATATTTCTAGTGATTCTCCTCAGTTTTCAGAAACATTTTGGACTCAGAAGTATATAGTTGAATGTACACTGCATATACCATCTTGGACTTGCCCGGTCAAGCGAGTAAGTAGATGACAAAGTACTCTTTAGCCACCTGACAAGTTGAGCCTACTGTAGCAGTGTACCACTCAATAGATGGTATTAAAGGCTTATGGCCAGCATTAACTAATCATTACAATGGATCCAGCCAAACTAGTTGTATTCTTGATCTTTACTGCCCTTCAACTTCATGCTCAGCAAGGCCTATGTGTAGATACACATATTAATCAGGCAAGCTATGGAAGTAGAAATACGGGAATGCAAAAAAGGATAGTTTTATTAAAATATGCAGGACATAGTACCCTTTACTACGCCAACACTACAGCAACTTTTAGATCGAGTATTCTCAAATGCGGAGACATCGATCCAAACCCTGGTCCTTTGGAGCAACACCACCATCGGTACTCTAGTAACGATCTTTATGAGCTAAGAGATAAATGCACTAATCAGAAGGTGCCCCCTCACACATGGAGGGTGATTAAAAATCTTCGAATCAACCCTAGGCCCATATGCCGTCGAGGTAAACGAGGTGGGGCTAGGAGATCTACCCATCTAGTGGAATCTCCGGCTTCTCACAATATCCCGGTGATTGTCCGCCCAAGACCAGTTGTGAATAGGTTGCAAAGACAGGAACCAAGTTATATGAAAAAAATTCAGCTGGTCCAGACTGAACCCAAAGAGAAACCTAATGCAAGGTCGGTACCTGTCCTACCGTCAGTTTTATTGTGCAATGCTCGTTCTCTCAACAATAAACTGGACGAATTATCTGTTATTGTTCGGGAACACGATATCGATATATGTTCAGTAACAGAGACATGGTTTAATCATGACCAACCGGAGTCATCATACAGCGTTGATGGTTACCAAGTCTTTACCAAGTCTCGGTGTTCTCGCAGGGGTGGTGGTGTCGCTATTTACGCGAAACATAGCATTGACCCCAAACAGGTGACTATTATTCCAGTTCCAGATGAGCACGAAGTTGTATGGGGTCCATTTTCGACCTCATCGATTACCGCGTCGTGTCAGCAGTATCTACTTCGGTGCAGTGTATTCACCCCCAGGAAACGCCAATGAGTGCGATCTAATACAGTACCTCATTCGGAGTGTTGACATCATCAAAACTGCGCATCCCTATGCCGGTGTTGTAATCCTCGGTGATTTGAATCGCATGGACATTTCCCAAATCCTCAGTGGATGTCACATGAAGCAAGTTGTCCGGACCCCGACAAGAGGTAACGCGATCTTGGACCAAATCATAAGCAATCTCGATCTCTTTTACCAAGAACCATCTTTGTTATCCCCCATTGGCCTTGCCGACCACAACATTGTAATCTGGCTACCCAAAGAAGTCAATAATAGACCACGCAATAAGGCTAAAAAACGGATTGTCCGACCAATGAAAGACTCGGACATAAGAGCTTTTGGTGAGTGGATAACTCACAACGACTGGCGAGATGTTCTTGCCGAGTCTCAGCCGCAAGCCATGTGTGATCACTTCTACCAAACGCTGCAATCAAAGGTGGATGTGCACTTCCCAACAAAGTCAATTAAACTCCATCCGACTGACAAGCCTTGGATAACGCCCCGTACGAAAGAGCTTATTAACCAAAGACAAATAGCATTCAGCAACAACTCTCAAGGAGCTTGGAAATCTCTACGCAAACAAGTCCTTCGCGAAATCTCTAGAGCAAAACGCTTTTTCTATCGCGATCGTATCCAAAATCTTAAGAGCGATAACCCCTCATCTTGGTACAAGAACATTAAAGTCATGTCTGGTCATTCAAATTCGCAAGCAGACATAATCCGAGTTCCGACTGTTGAAGACAATGACCCAGTGAAAATAGCTACCGCCATTAATGAATTCTTTGCAAATGTTAACGTTGATATCCCCGAACTACATTTGAGAGACCTACCATCGTACCTGCCAGCCCAAACACCGCCCCCACATGTTCAACCGTGGGAAGTCATGAGTGAATTGAAGAAGATCAAGCCTGGCAAGTCAAGCGGCCCTGACGGCATTCCTGGACGCCTCGTTCGGGAATTTGCTTGCGAACTCTCAATTCCCCTGTCAGGGATACTAAATGCATCCTATCAACATAACAAGGTCCCAACCCAGTGGAAACAGGCAATAATTGTCCCCATCCCTAAAGGTCCTACATCTGCAACTTTGGATAAACTGAGGCCTATATCCCTCACCGACCACTTTTCCAAAATTGCTGAGTTGTTTATAACCAAGCTTCTGTTACGCGACATTAACCCTCATTTGGACAAACACCAATATGGAAGCAGACCGAGCCTCTCAACTACCATTTGCATCGTCGACCTAATCAACTACCTTGCTAAATCAGCTGAGAAACCTCGGAACTGCCACTACCGTAGTATGCACCGACTTCAGCAAGGCATTCGATCGGGTCAACCACACTATCGCGATTAAGAAGCTTATTGATCTTGGTGCCCGCCATTCGATTCTTCCTTGGATCTGCGATTTTCTGACCGACCGCCAAACCTGTGTTCGTTACCATGGTTCACTTTCGCCCTGGAAGAAGATTCATGCTGGCGTCCCACAAGGCACACGCCTAGGTCCTGTTGTATTCTTGGCCCTTATTGATGATGTAATGCGTGATTCTTCATCAACGAGTCACTGGAAGTACGTCGACGACATGTCCATTGCCGCCTCGCACGATGCACGCAACCAGCCACGTGATATCTCCCGTTCACTATCCACTCTTAGGATTGGTGCCAGAACAATTACGTTAAACTCAACACCAAGAAGTGTTCAATCATGCGATTGTCCTTCAGTAAAGTCCAACTACCCCCACTAGGAGTACTTATTGATAATGTCCCCCCTGAACGAGGTTAGCAGTGTGAAAATCCTTGGAGTAACCATTGAAGACACCTTGAAGTGGAATGTACAGGTTTCGGATACGGTTTCTCGTGCTAACCGCCGCATTTTCATGTTAAGATCCCTGAAAGCCTTCTTTCCCCCCACCAACGACCTCGTTACAGTTTACATAGGATTTGTAAGACCACTCCTCGAATATGCCTGCCCTGCCTGGAACGGAGCATTGACTATCGCCCAGTCCAACAAGATCGAAAATGTTCAAAAACGGGCATTAAGAATTATACTAGGTAGATATTACATATCCTATTCAAATGCCCTATCAATGACCAAGCTTCAAACTCTCCATGCTCGCCGAGAAGGGCTATGTCTCAAGTTTGCCCTGAAAGCACTGAAATCCGACCAATCAGACTGGTTTAAACTGAACGCCAGCACCAGAAACACACGGAAATCACGTATCTGTATAGAACCTAAGTCGAAAACAGAACGTTACAGGAAAAGCCCAGTCCCATATCTCACCAGGTTACTCAACAACGCATAAATTCCCCTGATTCCTGCCCGATTCCACACCTCTTATTCAAATCGTATGCCTTTTGTTGCTTTTAATACTGCTCAACTTTATACCAATCAACTCATAAAGATTATTGCATGTAATCCACATTGTAATTAATGGATACACTTGTGTTTTTAACTGTCAAACTGATTAATTAGTGAATATATTTTTTTATAGTTACGCACGTTCCCATGTACATTCTATGTCTTTACATATTTAAAGTTTTTACGCATATATTATGTTATTGTCTTAGTAATGCATGATTGGTAAATTGTACTGTTTTTCTCTGTAAGGGAAACTTTGTATTTTAATTTGTAATTTCTTTCTAATCGCCTTTTCCTTGTCGTCTTACTTTCATCACCATTCCGCTTCTCCATGTCTTCACAGTTCCAACTGTTCCATTCTTCTCATTCCACTCCCTCCCTATCTCCCTCTCCCTCTCCCATCTTCCGCATGTCTTCCTGTTTTTCTTTCTAACTTAACTCTCTCTCTCTACATCGTTCTCTCCCTAACCTTTTCTCTCCCTTTCGGTAATTGTTTAATCATGTTTCTATGATAAATCCTTATATATTGTGTAGCTTTATAGACATTCAATGTGCATTACGGTTCGAAGTTAAACAAATCTTCAGTACTTACTTGTTATAACTCCATTAATCAGCCTCAATTTATATTTAAAATATGAATATTCCTCACTTAACAATGATTACAGAAAAAAAAGTAACGCCGAATCTATTTTATTTGTTTCATCAATTTGTTTGTAAGTAGGGAATATGTAATTAGTTATGATCTAACCGACTGTGTATTATGTGTACTTGTCCATATTATCTAAGTTTGTTGAAATGATTTTTAATACATGTAAAACTTGCAATGTAATTTAGCTTTCGAGCTACCATTTTGAAGTTGTCTAATAAAAAACCATTCTACTACTACTACTACTACTACTAACCAAATTAATTGAACCTTTGAGAGTAAATTTATTTCGTCAGACAGTAAATAAAAAGAAATACATGTATATATAATAATGAAAGCAGTTGAAATACCAAAATCCATGAGAGTTTCAATTCACTGAAACCGCTTTCAATTTACATGTGTTCCGTCTGCTCTAGAATAGCAGTTGAACCTTCTTTTCACTATGATACGGCTTTACAAATTTCGTGCGCATAACCATGATAATTGTGTCGATATTTCCCAAAATAACTCTATGACATCAGTACAATCTCTCAACACGGCATGTACAAGCGCCGCTTCTAGACCCAACATTTAAGGTAAGCAAAGTGCTACAGGAACGTTTTGGACAAAGTAAAGTTGATATGTTTGAACACATTCTAGTTGATGTTGTTATTATTGTTGTCATTGTGGTTTGTTGTACTTTTTTTTGTAATCAGAACTCTACTTTGTGTTATTACTTCCTGCTTCGAAACACGTGTATAAGGCTTATTATAATCCGAGTACAAGATATAAAACTGTATCTATATACTAGGCCTATCTCCATGTATGTATTTTGGCCGTGGGCCGAGCCTCCTTTTTGTTCAATTTCGTAACCAGTTTGCCGCGATTCTGTTTCCATATTTTCAAAAATAGGCTAATATAAATATAAATATAGACCAAGAAACAGCATAATTTCGAATGACATTTCCACACGCCCGGCCTGCGTACAATTCTAGGAGCCGCTTGGTTTGCACCCACGTATAGCGGTATACACCCCCGCTTGCGTCATTTTTTTTCTCTGTTGGTCAATGATCTGGAGCCTCCGGATGCTCGTGAGTTTTGGCAATGCACAAACTTCAAGATAGTCATCTTAAGGGATAGACACTCTAATACGTGTATTTCAATTTGCACAACCCCTATTGCTTCATTTCGTGGGATATAAGTTCTCTCTCTCTCTCTCACACACACACACACAATCTATTCCAAGGACAATCGTATAGAACAAAGATTTGTCTTGGATTATGTTCAGAAGAACTACTTCTTTCTTAAAGATTGGGTCCAGGGGTCCGCCGAAGGACCCCTGCCAGTTCATTAGAATTTCTTTTTCCTTCCTACTGTTCTACCGTCGTCCGAATGCTTTGTTGGAATATGCTGTGCCATCAGATCGACACTGCATTCTGTATTTGTATATTTCAGTTTCATGTTTTTATTTTTGTATTTTTTTTCTCTCTGTCTCTTCATCCATTTTCTGTTCTTTTGCCTTCTTTTATATTTCTATTCTTCCTTTTTTTCCGTCGCTCTCTCTCTCTCTCTATTTCCTTTGCCCCTTGTTTTACGCTGCCAAAGAAAAAGGACAGCGGTCGTTTCGCGCACTGATCCGCAACTCATGTATACAGCCATTACGCAAAGATGGGTTTCCATCCCATCTTATACGTTGCCGACCCGTTCCTCGAGAGAGCAGTATTTATGTTTACATTTTTATCTCTCTCTCTATTTCTCTCTCCTTTCTTTCCTTCTTTTAATCTGTTACATACTTTTCTTTTTATCTTTTATTTCTTCCGCTGCTCTTTCTTTCCCCATTTTAGGGGGGGGGGGGGAGAGCCGATTTGGTCCCTCTCTCTGTCTCTTCATCCATATTTTGTTCTTTTGCCTTCTTTTCTCTTTTTGTTCTCCCTTTTTTCCGTCGCGCTCTCTCTCTCTCTCTCTCTCTCTCTTTCCTTTTCCCCTTGTTTTACGCTGCCAAAGAAAAAGGACTGCGGTCGTTTCGCGCACTGATCCGCAACTCATCTCGATATGTTAATGTATACAGCCATTACGCAAAGATGGGTTTTACATCCCATCCTATACGTTGCCGACCCGTTTCTCGAGAGAGCAGTATTTATCTTTACATTTTTATCTCTCTCTCTCTATTTCTCTCTCCTTTCTTTTCTTCTTTTAATCTGTTACATACTTTTTTGTTTATCTTTTATTTCTTCCGTTGCTCTTTCTTTCCCCATTTTAGGGGGGGGGGGGGGGAGCCGATTTGGTCCCTCTTGGATTCGCCATTGGTGGATTGGTTATTTAAGTCTATAACAATGTTTTTCTTTCTTAATTGTTTAGTTGAACTACTCATCATTGTAGGCATGGCAGAAAAAGAAGAAGGAAATGTCCCCAAGGAGACTGAAGGTAAGCAAATCCACAATTTTTTCATTTTTTTCTAAAATTACAACCAAAAAAAAGATTTGAAAATGATAGCAAAAAGGAAAGAAACTGAAAACAAGGGGAAGAAAAGAGAAAGAAGTAAAAGAGAATTAGGAGAAATAAAAAAAAAATAATAATATCAATAATAACAATAATAGTAATAATTATTATAATGATACAAATAAAAAGTGCATAATTTCTCAAATAGATAACCTTTATCATGATTTAAATATCTTATCTTCTTACGGAATTGAAATGTAGATGATCTATTAATTAATTTATAATAGGTTTTATGGTTCTAGATCGTTGAATATTCGTCAGTGTCCGTTTACTAAGATACATAATTTATTGTGTGCATGTAATATATTCTAATATTTTGCCTATTTGTCTATTTCCAATGCGCTAATTTTACGCTTTTCAGAAGGTAAGTATGAAACTTTGTCCAATCATGGTTATTTCATATAATAATGGTGGTCATCCATCTGGTATTTCCCTCCTTTCATTTACATATTTGCTTCATTGGAACTAGGCACGAGGTCATTTGATATATTGAAATGTATATAAGTATCATGATTAGGCAATGTAGAATAATACAAAACACAGACCTTATATTGATATTGGATTAAAAACTTCGTGTTTACAGTTAGTATTAGAATCCATCTTCTCGTGGATTATAAATTTGTATACATGCCTTTCATGCATGGGTGTCTGTGGTTAGAAATGAATATAATTTGAAAACATGAATAATGTCAATTACTTTTGAGGTCATGTAAATCAGTAAAGTTCGATATAAGGAGATGTCTTGTTACCACACAAAACTGATGCTCACCTTATACACAGGAGGCACAGCAGGTTCTTGAGACATGGAATGTTGTAAATGGTTGTTGGGTATTAATGTGTTCAGGGGACCTTCCTGCACAATTTCAAGGTGGCC